ATAATGCTTAAGATCACTCAGATAGTGTCAGAATTGAAATATGAGTCCAATTCTCCTAACTCCTAGTACAGCATCCTACTCGTCCATACTCCAGATTTTAACATAATTTTTAAAATTAAAGTTACTTTCATTCCCAATTTATTTTTTTGACTTTATAATTCTTTTTTTTTAATTTAAGGTTTTTTAAAAAAATTTGTTTTATTGCTTAAAGTATTACAAAGAGTATTACATATGTCTCCTTTTTTTCCCCCCTTTGACCTTCCCCCGGCCTCCCCTAACCTCCAGTGTCTTGTGTCCATTGGTTATGCTTATATGCATGCATACAAGTCCTTTGGTTGATCTCTTACCCCTTCCCCCCAACCCTCCCCGGCCTTTCCGCCGTAGTTTGACAGTCTGTTTGATGCTGCTCTGTCTCTGTATCTATTTTTGTTCATCATTCCCAATTTAAAGGCATTATTTGTGTTCACTGCATGAAAAAATACACACACATACATAAACATCGATACCAAAAACAGAAATTAAACTAATTTTCCAACAGAAAGCACTTATAAGTTTCCCTGTAAAAGACAATCACTGTTAATATTTAATAACATACTGACTCCTATTATTTAAAAAAAAGTTTCCAATAATGGCATGAGTCAAATTATATACTGAAAATATTATTTTCTGTGGTTCCAAGAATTTCAGAGATTGCCAGTGAAGTAGATATGGGAAGTGGGAGGTCTTATCTTCCAGAGAAATGTCAACAACATAGTAAATGATGTTGATGTGAAATAACTTCTCTATCCTTGTGATAGCACTTGTATTTACTGTTTCTTTACATACTTTGAACAGACCTTGACTTTCCAAGTTCCTGACCTTTCAATAATCTGTATGAATCATTAAAAATTACCCTTATTTTTCTTTGGCTAAGAAGCTATACTTTCCTGATTTTAAGTCTTACCAGTTGCCTGCAAACATGACGAGAAAAGGCAGTACTCCGGGACCCACGGAAACAAACAGCCAGATCAGATGATGCAGTAAGAAGTGGAAATATTATTTCTACAAGCTGACTGATGAGGAGGAAATATATTTATAAAACATGGCAAACAGAAGGAAAAACAATCTAAACAACAATGCAAGTTGACAGGACTTATTCCAAAGGTATCTATTGAATCAGAGGAAAATAGAGTTCATGGAGTTTCAGATACAGAAAGGAATTTATGACTCCATCTAGTTCAACTGCCGCATTTGGCATATCTGGAAACTGAAACCCAAAATGGTTTACCTTATTGTTCAAAGTCACACAGCTATATTTAGCAGCAATGCCAGCAGGGGATCCAGGTTTCTGAACTCTCAAATAAGTATCATTTCATTTATACTTCATGGGAGCATACGCACTGCTTAATAACAATGGCCATTTAACTGCAAATATTTACATTTTCTGTGTACCCAGGTCACAGATACAATTTTCCTAGCATGAATATTAATCCTATGCCATCAGAAAAAGAAAACTTTATATTTCTTTAAGAACTAATTTATATTTGGGTTTATAATAGCTCCTTTCACATGTATTATCTCATTTTATTTCTAAAATTAAAGGTAGGGATTATTTTCTTCATATTAAACATGAAGAATCTGGGGTTTAGAGAAGCAAACAAATCACTTAAGATTGAATATAATATATAATGAAAAAGCTGAAACTTGCAATCACATCTACCTGATTGGGTGAGGTGTTAGCTCCCTAGAGAGAAAAGGTCTTGAGTCTCCTGCACACTTAGCTATCTTTAGAATACTTAGACATTCTTTTGACACACAGTAAGTATGTGACAAAAGAAAGAAATTCTCATAGATGGTCCATAGACCACAACTGGAGAAACTGTTCAACACTAAAAAGTCAGCTTGGTTTTTTATTTTTTTATTTCTTTGATTTTTTAAAAATTGTTTTTCCCCCCAGTTTTAGTGTGATATGGTTGACAAATAATATTGGGTAAGTTTAAGTGTACAACATGATGTTTTGGTATACGGATATATACTGTAAATGATTGCCAGAACAAGAATAACACATTCATCACCTAAGATAGTTGTGATATTTGTGTGTGTGTGTGTGTGTGTGTGTGTGTGGTTTTATTTGTTGTTCAATTGGTTTTGTTAGCCTACACATTCTTTGTCTTTCTTTCGTGGTAAGTCCTCAAAATGTGAAATGTCCCCTAATTGAGACAATATCTCACTGGTCTTCATGTTTCAGAGTAAACATGAAACTAAAAATCTGTGGATCTAGCATAACACTGACTGTTATTTCTAATTGAAAAAGATAAGTATTTTGAATCTTAATTTGAAAATAAAGTGTTGGACTTTGAGTAGGTGAGGGGAAAAAAAAGCTCTGTTGTTGCTTCTTTCTCCAACTTATTGTGTACACTCGGGAAAGTCATTCAAAACTCTCTATGGAAAAATACAGTTTGTTAGCCTAATCCTAAGTAACTCAGATGAAACCTTTGCATTTGGCTTTGGAGTACATATTTTGGGCTTATGTTCACATACAGATGAGTTTGATAGATGAAAAATAACAAATACCTTAAACCCAAATAATGGAATATTATTTGGAGTCTTCATTTTCTGTCGTCCCCCCCAAAGTGTTACATTTTAAAGTGAAGCATACTCATATTCATTATCATTTCCACTTTCCATTTATTTTACTATTCATGTATCATTCATTGGTTGTCCTAATTTGCTTCCAAGTGATCCCCGCTGTCACTGTCTTACTTTGTCATTCATTATTTTTACTTTTAAACTCTTTAGTATTACTACGTTTGTCTTCCACTAATTTATTTATCACCTAGATGTCTTTTGAAGTTTAAATTTGGTCACGCCATTCCTAAACTGAGTGGCTTCACAGACCTTATGCAAAATTAAGCCCAACCCCTTAGGAAGGAAGAACCTGTCTCCCAGCCTCCCTCTCCAACCTAGCCTGCTTCCATTTGTCCACACAACCCTTTATTCCCGCATGCTGACACTACGTCTGGACCTGGGAAAGCCACTTGTCCCCAGGCCCAGGTCCCTTTGCACATCATAGATCCAGTGTGGACTAAGTCTCACGCTCTTTCTTTTCCTTTCTATACTTGCCTCTTCTGCATTCATTACCCAACTCACGTGCTGTCTCTCTCAGGAAATCATTCTTGGCCATCCCCGTAAGTCTCATCTGTGCCTTGTTACCAGTGCCTACTTCTCTGCGTAACTCTAATAAAGCAATCTGCACATTATTAGTTCATTATTTTATCGCCTTCACTAGACTGTGATCATCTCAATGTAGAGACTGCTCTCCATTTCTGTATCTCTACTTCCTAAAATAGGCAAATAAAAGAGCAAAGGAGTTAATAAATTATAAGGAAGATCAAAGCAATGCTATCTATCACTGGAAACAATGGTTATTGGAACATTTGCATTTGTTTTTGGAGTACATATTTTGGGCCTATGTTCACTTACAGATATGAGTTTGATAGATGAAAGATAACAAATACCTTAAACCCAAAACTGAAGCCACACTTTGAAATCTATGGAAGGACCGATCAATTGCCCATTTACCAATGCTCATTTGATGTCAGGAAAGGATGATCTCTATAATATTTTACATTAATATCAGTCATACCATATAAGCTTGGTTTATCACCTTACTCTGTCCAAATACTCCGACTTGGATTTTATCATATTTTGCCTCTTCTAGTAGTTTCCTTTTCGATTGCTCTTTCTTATCTTTGATTATTTATTACATGGTCCTTCCATCTGCAAATATGCTCATTCTTCTGTACCTCCAAATTCGTTCCTCCCTGGCTTATAGCAACAGCAACAAAACCTCAACAAAAACAAGCCAAGAAACCAAAAAACTCTAAGGTTCTTTCTTGAACTACAGGATACCATGTAAATCCTTTAACATGGTGTAATAATCCTTCTTTATTTAAGCCCCAATCCCTTGCCATTTCCCCTTTCACACTGTTGCTCATTATGAATGTGATAATAGAATGGTCACAAACTCTGCTTTATCCAAAGACCACGGAAACCATTTGTCTTTGTGCTTACTGGTCCCTGTGCCTTAGATTCCTCTTTTCCAAGTATAGAATGACTAATCATCCAGGTCTATGATGATTTACTTGTCCTTTCTTGTCAGGCACTATAAAATGCCTTTCTACTTAAACAGATATACACATTTGCATAGGTTCTTGGAACTGAAAATACTGAGTAGAGAAACATACTATTTTTAAGACTTGTTCGAAATTATCAACTTGATTTTTAGAAAAGTTTAATCAATTTACATTTTTAAAGTGTTTTACAGGAGTTCCAGTATCACTGCAACTTTGTACTGAATATACAGGACTTTAAAGTTCTTGCTGGACTGATAGAAGAGTAACTGTATCTGTTTTTAATACTCTAGTTTTAGAAAGAAGAATAAGCATTTTAAGAAAATGTTTCAAAACTTAAAATACTTTATCAGTCATTGTCATGTCCATTTTAAAAATTATCTACTGTAAATAAAATCTCTTTATCCAAGGAGTGACAAGGTTGGAAGAAAAAAGTTAGAGCCTTACCTCACATCACAAGAAATAAGAAATTCCATATTTAGTTTGAAGATGACTTTTTAAATTTTATTTTGTTAACTAAGTGAATTAATTCATTCACACATATAATTAATTTTTCATACTCATGAATTTTTTAATATTAAATTAATAAATATAAAGAATAAATATTAATAAAAATTTTCCTGTATAGTATTAAATATAATAAAATTGCCATTTGATTAAAAAATTGCTGGTATGAATCTTTTCTTTCAATGATATAATAATTTTATATTTCAGGGTAAATGTAAATTTGGATGTGACACAGAAAAAGATATAATAGATAAATATTTGTTTGGGCTTTCAATAATCCTTAATATTAATGTTAGGTTTAAACATTTCTGCCAGCTTTGTACTTCTAAATTAAACTTCTTTGAATAAATTAAAATCTTTAGGAAAAAAAAGAAAGCTCACCTTATTACAAAATTGTGACTGTCAATCTCCTTTCCACATTCACTATCCAGCAGAATGCCAGAGTTTCCCACAACTGCACAGGTCTTAAATCGGCGGTTCTTCATCGGTGACACTTCAGGGAGCAGGCTATGCAGATCCTGAGAAATATTTAGTGTCCGGCGCCTGTCAAGCACATAGTGGATGACATCACCAGGCTTAAAACTGCTCTTGACCACCGAGACATCTCGTTCTGCATCTAGGAAACGAAGAATGTTCTTCCTATATTTGAAATATAAAGTTTTCTATTAATGACAACATATCAAAGAACTGGTGATATATCTTACAAAGTACCATATAATGAAATGTAAATTGGTAAATTACTAATCTTAAACTGTAAGTTGGTAATTAAAGCAACCTATTAGTTAAATGGATTCTACAGGAAATAGAGTATATGTTTTAAAAATCATTTGCACAGTCTCTCAATGATTTTCTAGATAAACACGGTATCTGCACCTATTTGTGGAATGGCAAAGTCCCTCATCTACCAAAATATACAGAAAAATTAGTTTAATAAATAAAATGCAATTGTCATGACTTGATTTTGCATAATTAACATTCTACTAGTGTTAGTTAATGTTTTATAGTTATCTATTTTGTTTAATATTGTCCCCTTAAGGTGAACAGAAATAACATGAAATTGTTTGGAATTACACCTTAATAAACTCTATTAAAATAATTGAACCCTCCAATGAACTTATATACATTTACCCAAATTATGTGTATATTACAATTATTTGAAGGAGAATTAAAACTATAGCACTAGATGTATATAAAAGCTTTCTTCTGAGCGCAAGGATCCAGGAAGTAATATGGGTACATTTGATGAAAAGATAGATAAAACACTGGACTCATGCATGGCAGTGATAGCTAATTGTTCCTTAGTGTTCTTTCTCCCCTTCTTCCTTTTAGTATTTGAATCCTCTAAGTTTTAATTGAGCACATGGATGGTCAACTAGAACATTTCCAAGTTTTCAAATCCCAGTGCAGCTGGGTTTGGTCATGTAGTCTGTTTTCTTAAATGGTATACAAGTGAATCATGAACATAACTATTGGAGAGAAAAATAAATTTTCAACTTGTTTAATTAATCCACTATATTTTAAGGTCTTTTGAAAGAAAGCTTAGCCTAGCCCATAACTAATGAAGAAATTAATAAAAGATGTGAGATGCCACATAAACATACATACATATGGTAAGTTTAATGATGGAAAATGAACATATAGATACAGTAGGCTAGAAAGGTAGTGACCCTTGACATGAATATAGCAAAGCTCCTGATAAAAACTGTTATCTGCAATAATTTGGGAGTCATAATCTATACGTAAAAACCTGTTAATCTTGAAGAATTGGTTTAAAAGTGTTTATATGTTGCTTGTTCCTTTGATCAAGGCACTAAAAGATGGGCAAAGTTAGGCATGATGTAGCCAAATTGCAAGTTAAGATGGAAAGGATAATCTCTGGTAATGACTTACAATCTAAACCATGTGAAAATCTAGTAATTGAGACCTCCCCAATGTTTCTAATACCCCAGTGAGCAAAAGATGCAACTATAAATTAGAGCCATCCTAGCAGCAAGAGGAATATTGCCTTTCCATCTACGTGTAATCATTCAAATGAGGTAAGAGTAGCTGCCATTAAATTGAGGGAACCAAAACACTGAAGAGTCCTGTTCAGAAGATATTTTGGGGTGCGTTTAATTATACCAGGAACTAACTACAAAGAGTATAATACATTTTTGAGGGAATTATATTGCCAAAGACACTATGCACTTGGTCTACAAAGTCTGGGATTGCTTATCCTTTAACTACCAAACATATACCAGCTAGAAACAATTTGAGAAAGCTCTTTTCTAGATTGAGAATTGGATATTATTTAATAAAGTGTACTATTACAGCTGGTATACAATGCCATTATTATAACATTCAAGATATGACAGACATATTTTTCCTCTAGTGCTGTTACGATTTAAGCTCCCTCACAATCCATATACTTTGTTACAAAATATGGGTGTCCTCCCATCAATCCACCAAAAGAGCAAGTCATCAAATCATACAGGAGCTAAAAGCATGACTAGCAAAGAAGGAAGAAAATAAGTCCCAATTTAATGTGCTGTATAATTAGAAAACCAGGGATTAAAAACTTTGTTTTGCCAGATTTTTATAAGGGATATATATGTCTATCATCTCTCTGAAAAAGAAAATGATTTTTGAAAAAATTTTCTCAAACATTTGGAATATTAGGTGCACAAAGAGTGGAATTTGTACAGGAAAATCTGTATAAATGCACTACAATGAAATTTTAAAATTAATAGAATTATTATCAGACATTATAATAATTTATCTTAACAAAGTACAAATTATATGAGAAGAAAACACCCAATAAATTTAGCAACTGTAGGGCATAGGAATTGTAGAAAATCGAGGTCTTTCATTTCATTAAGTAAATATGATTCTTAACAAAAGTTAACAACTAGCACCAAGAGTGCAATCCATACAAACTTTTATACAGTCTTATTAGTTACAATTTATTTATTTAAGGAAAAAAAGTAATGTTTGGACACTTGTATTTCAACACAAAAATGTTCATTTCCTGTGAAAATGACAAGACTGGCTCTAAAATAAAGACTGCACGGATGTGGTCAGATCACCAAAGGAGATATTATCATTTTCCTTTGAACATAATTCGAAGGGGTTGCAGTAGATATCTGAGGATGTACTCACAAGTATGCAAGTAGAAGTGAATAGATTTCAGGTTCAGATTTGAAAGAAGAATCTTGAGAGCCTGGAAATCCCTTTCCTCGTGAAAAAAATTAACAGCTAAATGCCTGACAGCTGATTGCAAGAGGGTGCAAGAGGGACTTTCACATAACAGAACCTTTGTCATGTGATCAAAAGCAGTAAAAATATTTTCAAGCATTAAGTCTTCTAAATTTCTGAGTATCAATGGGCATGTTTAATTTATTTATTCAGAGAAAAGTTGGTATAATAAAGTGGATTATTAGAGTTCAGAAACGTTTTAAAAAACATCATAATGTCCTACTCTTGGAAGAAAAGAATGCTTAATGAGATATATAATTATTAAGTACAGATGATACAATTGTGTGTGTTCCTCCAATACTGTTATAGCCTCAACAGTTGTGTTTTTTCTTTTTATTGGCAGCAGTAAAAATAGTAAAAGTATTTTCCAAGACAGAATAAAGACACCAATTCACATAGGCTAATCAAAGTATAAGTTTGTAGGCAAAACTCAGAATGATTGCATAGTATTTGTTTTTAAAACTGAAGGGGAAGGGAAAAGACCTAGAGGGTCTCTAGTTTGTTCTTTTTCTTATATCGAACCAACCTTTTAGTCAGCCTTTTTATCTGAGCTAAGATTCCTGATGAAGGATACAAGTAAGACTGAAAATAATTACTTAGCTAATAATATTTTGATTTTGATGCTTATTTTTTAAAACAATGAGAAATGTTAGTTCTTTCTTTTTCTCCTTTGCAGGTTATAGGCATTTTGTTGTTGCTGTTGTTAATCCTCACCCAAGGATATTTTTCCATTGATTTTCAGAGAGAGTAAAAGGGAGGGGGAGAGACAGAGAGAAACATTGATGTGAGAGAGAGACATGGATTGGCTGCCTGCTGCAAGAGCCCTGACTGGAGCCAGGGCTTGAGCCTGCAATCAAGGTGCATGCCCTTGACTGGAATTGAACCCGCAACCCTTCAATCCTTGGGCCAACACTCTACTGAGAAGAACCAGCTAGGGCTATTTTTTAGATTCTAGATGTGACAGACTATAAAATGTTCTGTGGATTTGCTAAGTCTAGTTGTTGTTTGGACTGTAGAAAAAAATAAATAAGAAAACTAGAGCTTAAATACAATTAACTAAATGTCCTTGGAAGCATGAAAAACTAGTGAACTTACTTGGAACTGAAACAACCCTTTAAGTATCATCAAAGATAACTGACATATTTTGTTCAGAAGATAATTGATATGAATGAAAAGATTAGGTTAAACAAAACTACTTCAGAATGAGAGAGATGGAAAGAAAACTCAGTTTAACTTCTGGGCTCTAAAGAAACATGAACCAACAAAAGTTACTTATTAATATGCAGGCTGAACCAGTACAGTAAGTCCTCATTTAATAGAGTGGATAAGTTCTTCGAAACTGTGACTTCAAGAGAGAGAAGACATATAACAAAACCAATTTTGCCATAGTCTAACTGATATATATGAGTGAAGTTCCTACAAGATATTTCTGGTCACAAAAACATCATCAAACTTCAAAATAAAAACCCAAAACATTTTAAATATTAAACACTGAAATAAATGTGAACTGTATATATATTTAAGAAAGATGAATTAAAATAAGAGAATTCCTTTCCAACACGCTTATTCCAGTTCAGGGTCACAGGCAGCTGGAGCCTATCCCAGCAGCTCAGAGTGCAAGGCGGGCACCCATCCTGGAGAGTTCACCCTTCCCGCTCAGGGCCACTCACATCCATACCCACACCCACTCAGACTGGGAAAGTGTAGACATACCAGCTCACCTAACATGCATGTATCTGCGGTGGGAGGAAACCAAAGGAGCCAAAGAAAACCCACACAGATGTGGGGAGAACATGCAAACTCCACACAAACAGTGGCCCCAACCAGGAATTGATTATTTTTCTCATCAATGTATAATGGAATGACGTTGAATGAAACCACGTTTTCTAGGACCTGCTGTACAAATTTTCCTATAAGTAGTCAAGTTATTACCAGATATTTAAAGTTGGGGGTTGTGCTTTCTGTGTGTGACTTAACAGAACAATAATAAAAAAAAAAAAGACTTTTTATATCTTGGACATTTTGTGAACATAAAGTAACTTTTGAAATCCCATTAGATAAGTACACACCTAAACTCAGCAACTGTTATAATGATGACTGAAAAAACCCAAAAATACTTGTTTCACTTTCAGTGAGACTAAACTCTTAGTCAGAAAGGTCATTTTTGTTAGGCAAAGCTGGCTTAAACTGACAGTTAAACTGACAGAAATAGATTCTACGCAGAAACTTTTCAACTGAATTTTCAACTAGAACTTCCCTTTCAACAACAGCCATCACTTCAAATAGCAGCTGCAGAGTCTCAGAGAATTAGTTTACTAAAGGTTTTTTTCACTTGTGAAATGTTAACTAGGGCTAACCTATCACCAGGTGCCACTCTTTCTTCTCTGCAGCTTCCTTGTCAACAA